TGCTGATGGTTACTCATCATTACCAACAATCAATACGAAACTATCGATTTTAAATTGGCTCACTACTTGACTAGCCTATTGGTCCCAAGCAAATCGATTAACGTACCCCATTCTAGTCAAAATTCTAGTACTACACAATGTTTGTTTTTATTCGCTATGAAAATTTGACAGATAAAATGAGGGGTTATTGGATTTTCCTATGTTTCGAGGGGTGAATCGATTAGCTTGGGACCGAAGATAGTACCAGAGCTGAGCCAAAAAGTTGAGCACGTTTCTTCGGGACCTACTAGTCTTAGAGTTACCTCTATGTCATTACTCTTATTGATCTTCTTTTAGAATTCTAATGTGAATTAATTTATCGCATGGTTTGGCACGATTTTGAAAATTTCTGGTTTCAAGACTCACTGGAATATGTTCCGGTCATAGCTCCGGAACCAGCAAAACCATTCCAAAAGCATTCAATAACGTTCTATGGGACCATGGTATCTTTCTACTGATCTATATTACGCTTAACTAATGCAGCATCGTCATGGAATTGTGACTGACTTGCGGTTATTTTCCTAATTGAAGTTACATGTAATTGCAAGTCCGCTCTGATTTTAGTCATAAAATAAAAATTTCACGAAATTTTATCCAATATTTTTTCACATCACATTACACGTTTATTTTCAAAATTATCTTTTCAAAAGAAGTGTACAATGAGAAAACATACAAAATCTTTGAGCACCGTTTTCTCATTTGCAGTTTTTTACAATTGGAACTGACTTGCGGTTATAGGCAGTAAAGTTCCATGATATTCTATAACATTTCCTAAATATTTACGAAGTTCCCCAATCTTCTATGGAGTTTCCTGAAATCAAATGACTTTCTCTTAAGTCTTACCTTCTACGAATTTCCATTGACTTCTATGAAGGTCTCAGACTTACTTATAAATGAAGCCTATGAGTCTATGAAGACTCAGGTTTATAAATCTGAAATGGTGTACCCTTACCCACAAATTTTAAAACTAGGGGTGTGAAATGTGTAGGTATTTACTACCGATAGTTCATGTCTTGACAGCTAGGGCCATGGCCCCTGCCAGCCAACCATCTTATTTATGCCTATGCTTACCGGATGTTGAGTGCACTTCCACCTGCACTGTACCCAGGCATGGAAAATCCATTTCGTGCATTCATGTAGGTACATTCAGTTACGTTTAACTTTTTTCTTGAACATAATTCCGTAATATAAGATATTAGCTACAGCTTTTGTTAAAATCAAATCTGTATCCCTTATGCATGACAAACTAGAGCGAGCCGAACTTGTTATTGTTTTTCAGTGAATGTAATTTACATTCACTAAAAACAATGGTGGATTCTGTCCGCCCTATCTTGCACTATTTGCACTATCGCACATCTTGCATAAAAGGTACTGATATGGGTTATTGACAAGAGTTGTAGTTAATATCAAAACCTTCAAAAACTTGGAGTATCATTTTGCGGAATTCTGGCGATGAAAAAAGTTAGAGGCAAATTAATGTAAATGATTTTCCATGCCTGACTGTACCTAAACATCATCCTCTGTTTGAATGAAAACTCAGACCATTCAAATCGAAACACCGAAATAGCTTCTTCGAATGGAAATCACTGTAACTGGATCAAGATGGAAGTATATATCGGTGGCCCAGTACTTACGGTCCGCTAGTGTTGGTGAGTTCTTTGCCGTACATGCCTATGAAAAGTTCACTATTTTGCCATAAGTAATGCCAAAACAAAACAATATACGGACGGATTTGGACCCGTTTCATACGACCGGAATGTGTATGCTGGTCATAAATGCCTTGCCAAAATGATTTCCTACGCAAGTGATCCATCTTTGATGTGAATTTCGCGAATAAACACGAGGACCGTTACTTAGAGCTAAACTTGCCATACAAAATCGTCATAGTTCATTTTAGAAAACAAACTAACACTTCTTCCTTGTGTGACACCTTTGTATAAGGTGCCTAGCAACCGGATGACGGTTGTTTTGTAATCAGATGATGCTCCTCTCGAATACAGTATGAACATTGATACGAGAAACGAACGGACCTCAATTGAAATACGTAATAGCCGGCGCCGGTGGTGTAGTGGTAAGCGTGACTGTTTTCTCACCCCAACAGCCGAGGTCGGTGAAATTTTTCTGAGGCATAAAAATCTCTGGTCATGTCTTCCTTCGGAAGGGAAGTAAAGCCGTTGGTCTCGGCCCATGTGTGTTGAAAATGGATGCGATATCCTACGCAGGTGTGGAAGAGCTGCCTTCCTGCACATTAGATTGCCGTAAATGGATGGCAATCGATGTCCGTCGGTGATTGGCACTAGATTGTGGAATAGAGACCGACGTTAAATAATAGAAATAAGAAGAAGAACTACGTAATACCAACAATCAATACGAAACTAACGATTTTAAATTGGCTCACTACTTGACTAGCCTATTGGTCCCAAGCAAACGATTAACGTACCCTATTCTAGTCGAAATTCTAGTACTACGCAATGTTTGTTTTGATTCGCTATGAAAGTTTGACAGATAAAATGAGGGGTTATTGGTTTTTCCTATGTTTCGAGGGGTGAATCATTAGCTTGGGACCGAAGAGAGTACCAGAGCTGAGCCAAAAAGTTGAGCACGTTATTTTGGGACCTTCTAGTCTTAGAGTTAACTCTATGGTAATACCATAGAGGTAACTCTAAGACCACTGGGTCCCGAAGAAAATCATTATTATTTTTGGCTCACTCAGTACCAGAACAACGGTCCCAAGCAGTCCCAAGCTATTTCACTCACCCCTGCATGTTCTGCATGAATCCACACACCCCTGATGTTATCTGTCAAACTTTCATAGCGAATCAAAACAAACATAGTGTAGTAATAGAATTTCAACTAGAATAGGGTACGTTAATCGTTTGCTTGGGACCAATAGGCTACTAAAGTGGTGAGCCAATTTAAAATCGTTAGTTTCGTATTGATTGTTGGTATAATTGCACTTGCCAGACAATAATACCAATGCAAAAATAGTACAGGCATCGAAAGCTCTCAATTAATAACTGTGGAAGTGCATGTAGAACACTAAGTTGAGAGCACCCAATAAGCTAATATGCGATATGCAATAAGCTTGACATGCGAAGAAGAAGAAGAAGAATTGAAAAAATTGATACCAAATTTTGTTTTCATTTTGCTGTACATTTGCTCTTCAGAAATATTTTGTTGCGGGTTTGTTTTCATTGCCTTAGCATAACAATAAATAGAATACTTGTTTTGTTATCAACAGGATAAATTGATATCAAATTTAGTTTTCAGTTAGCAGAAATAGTTTTCAATGTGATGTCACAAGAAGATGTTTTTGCTCTCAATTTTGATATTTTAACCGTTAAAACGACCAAAACGACAGCAACCTGAGTAATCATTAGCAGCGAAGTCACAACATCAAATTTAGATTTCAAATTCATCTCAGACTTCGCTCGGGTATTTATACCCTTTGTCAGTCAAAATTGGATTCCTAAGCAACAAAATTAAGCAATGACACCGATAATGACCATGCATCAGAATCCTAGTATTAACCACTTCAAACTATGGAACAACGAATAGAAGATTAGAAATCACATAGATGAAGACTAAAGGCCCAAACGCAATGTGGACGGAAGCGGAAAGGAAACGGAAAGTTTGACAGTTGTCACAAATGACTTCAAGATGCCTAACCGAAGTCGATTTTGTTCCAACAAGTTTTCAATCCGACAAGTTGGCTTACTCAGATCGGGCTTTTCCGCTGCCGTTGCCGTTCCGCTTCCGCTGTCATTGCGCTTGGGCCTTAACTAATTTTTCCTTGTTTCAAGATCATCCTCGGTGAACAAAGCCGATTCTTGTCACTATAAACAAGGCATACAAAGTATCAAGGACTAAGATGTGTTTCTTTGGTTGCTGAAAAATCCTGTCCCCCTAGTTTGAAGTAGTCAGGACAAGGAATCGGTGGTAGATCTTACATCCCGTAACGTACCACGAAATGGTGATCTACCCACGTTACGGGGTACCAAGTCTTACAATAGAAGGTTTTAAAATCCTAAAAAAATGCGTACATCATAATTACATGACCCCATACCGATAGAAAGACGTTGTAACTGATACATGAATCACGATAGCCTCACAATTTAAACTCGAAAGCTGAGCCTCATAATCAAAGGTATCAGTAGTCGTTATAAAAAAAGAAATTCAAGGAATTCACGTGAGAAAGGACAAAGTCATGTTAACCAAAAGAGTTGAATTCGACAGCGATGCGTATTTTCAAATGGATGACGCAGAAGATAATAATATTATTATTATTAACTGCGCTTAGGTTCCGGTAGTAAAGATTTGTTCAATGACTTACTCATCAACCAATCATTGCCTGTCTTCTAATGCAGTTTCTGGTTCATATCTGTATAGAAAATAAGTGAAAATTAAGTGAACAATCAACAAGGTATCGTTCATAGTCCGTAGAAGAGCCAATCTGCTACGCATAATAATTCTGTGCCTTAATGGCTCCATATTTCGCTATATTTTTAATATTGTTAATCTAAAAAAAGGCTGCTAAACATTGACGTTCGATTTACCGATTACAACCTACAGTTACAAAGAAGACCTAGAAAACACTATTCGCTAATCAGGTTTCTGTATCGATTCGCTAATTAAGTTCTAGGCAGTTCGTAATGTCGTTTTATGTTCAAATAAAGATAATTCACTCGGGACTCGGGATTTGAAACCATTGGAAGGAATATCCGCAACCTCGGTACAGTGTAGTCATTGGCAATAGGTTGACTCAAAGCAAACTTCCCACGTAGGCAAAGTCAGTTAAAGCTTCCTTTTTGTGTGTGTGTATGTGTGTTTCTTACGTTTGTCTAATTTCGATAAGATGGTGGAGGAACGAAGCATTGTGTGGTGCATGAGTTGGTGTGTGGACGATGTATGTGCGGACTAGATGTGAATGAGAAAAAGGGAAATAAAGAAAACTAAGCGGCTTAATAGTACGATAAAATTGCATTCCATTTTTATTAGTTCGAAAAAACATGAAATAATGATCACAAAACAAGTAGCAGTGTAGATGTATGCACTTTCTTAGCTGAACTCAAAGAACGCAGGAGTTGTACACCGAAAAGAATATGAAGTAAAATTTTGCTGATTTGCTTGCTTTCGCTTTTTAAAGTAGGAGGATAAATAAATAAATAAAAAATTTAATATCATAACCGTGGCCTGATTGAAACGCGAAAATACAGACTTAAACGTATGCGTTAAGGATGCTAGTTTGTGTTCGGTTGATCTTTTTTGAAAAGAGAACCCGATGGCTAGTTTGTGTAGATTTCTCTTTTTGTTCTGGTACGTTTTTTACGTTTTTTGCTTCAACGCGTGGGTGGAAGCAGATCGACAGATGTTACTTTTTTTTTGTTTTTGCTTGTTGTATGTAGAAGTAGTTGTTGTAGTAATAGTAGTAATAGTAGTAGTAGTTGGCGTCACTTAAGAAGAAAGTTATTCAAAATAAGGAGTACGTAGTTCGATTTTTTAAACCAAACATGTTTTCTTTTTTTAAAGGTGAACACTTTTTTGAAAAGCGATTACGTTACTTTTTTTTTCTATCTCTCTTTTCTCTTCTTGTATGTTACTTAAACATGCGCGTTTGCGTGTGTACCTAAATGAGTTTCGTTTCTAAACATAGTAAGAGGCATTTTGAATGCCAGTTGTTTTGTCGTGGCAAATAGATCAAGGAAACAAAAGTAAAAAGTAAAAAAAATGTACAATGTTGATGTCCTGCCTAATAATCTGCAGAAAACTGATGCGGGTGTGTTTGTATGAATAATTTATGCACAGAAAAAAAAATGATAATATGTACTTGGTATCGTTGAAGACATAACAGGTAGGAGGCAATTACATGAGTGTGTATGTAGTAGATGAGAGGTGAGTTTGACTGACCACTAGGAAAAAAAAAGTTGTTTGAAAAGAACACAAAACTTGCTTTCGACGGTAAGTTTTCTTTTTACTGCTGACTATTTACATTTAGAGTGGGGGCGTTTCGCTACTGGTAGAACGATCTGTTTAAAATAAAGTTAATCTTTATACAAGACACTACGCAAGACTTTGAAAACCACTTAGTGGTTAAGAATAATATTTTTGAGTTCTTCTTAATCGGTTCTTCTATCCATATAATTTCTTGCAAGTGTTATTTTTTCGTTTCGACATTGTGTTAGTTTTTTTGTTTCGCTTTGCTTTTTTTTCGACATGACTAACGTATGTTTGTTTTTGTTTATTTTTTTCTTAACACAATAGTCTTTCACTTTTAGCTCTTTTTGTTTGTTTTTGCTTATTTTTTGAGTTGGTTACCTTCTCAACGAACAACTACATTAAATTATGAATGTAAATCGATTTCTCAGCGAATAAGAATTTGTAAACCTCTTACATTTTGTTTTGCGTTTGCTCTTCAAATTTGTATCAGTTGCTTTTTTGCTTTGTAATTTCTTTGTTTGTTGGCTTACGGTATGGCCTTACGATCTAGTTTTATAATGGTTTGTTTTTCGCCTAAAAATAAACAAACAGAAATTATTTGGTGGGAAAAATATCGACAATGAAGCTTAAAAATTTCTACTTTACAATGCACGTTCGCGATCACCGGGAAGGTGATCGAACCTAAAACAAAGTTTGAGTACGGATTGAACTGGCGCTTTGATGCGTTTCACCGTCAGCGCCACAGTGCTCGGTATCTCGAAACATCAACCTGCGTGTTGGGAGACGACGTAGCACTGTTTCTCGACGTGATTGATCGCATCTCTGACGAAAACGAAACGCGAGAGAGTTTGTCCGTGCTCTCAATCTCTACGTATCACCCTTTTTATCAAAGGTAGATGATGAACTATCAGTTATTAGCACTTTTGATGATCTCCTTGCTGGTGGCGGCGATGCAGGCAGGCTTGCTACTGCCGGAGCCGTTTTCCAGCACCACTGAGCTGGCTGATGGCGAATTCGTAGACGCATTGGATGCCGTTGAAGCCGCTGACGCTGGTCTGGAAGGAGGTCGTGGCGATGGTGACGCTATCACTCCTGTGACGCCATTGGCCGACGGAGAATCTAGCGGTTGCTGCTGCAGTTTGTCATCATCTTCATCCATTGCGGATGGGTCCGATTTTATACTGGTAGCACTAATTGACAGACTGGCTGGAATCAACGAAGGAGGTGGCGGTGGAGGAGGTGGTGGTGAATGAAGCATCAGCACAGAATCATCCGGACTTCGGCGGAGGCATTTCTTCAATGGTTTCATGATGTAATCGGTTTTCTGCGGAAAACTGTTCCGCCGTTCGATTTTCTCAATCACGATTTGGCTGTTGCTGCTGTTGGAAGCTAACGAGAGAGGTGAGGGTGGTGTCGATGACGGAGCGGAACCGCTGGCCACGGCAGCCGCACTGGCAACAGCGGCCAGTTCCTGCTGGTGCTGCTGCTGCATCTGCAGGGCATTGGCCTCCGAGGTGGCTATTTTAATGAGAGATCGATTCAGCTGCTGCTGGAGGTGATGCACTTGCTGTTGCAAACTGTCTTTATCCCGCTGCAGCTCCACTATTAAGTCCTCCTTCTGTTTGTGATCCTGTAGTAACCGTATCTGGTCGTTTCGGATTTGTGCCGTTTCCTGAATGAGTAGTTTGAAAATGTGCAATATCTGGTCTCGCGTTTCATGTGCAACGTCTTTCATCACCTCTCCGATGATTTCCAGTGGAGGCATCGAGTTATTGCTACTGTCCGGTTCACCAGCTAAGCTGTCATCATCGGTATCGGTGGACAGCTCAAACTCGGGATTGCCTATGATGGGCGCACCTGGTAGCCCTAGCGGAATAGCTCCGTTCTTCAGGATAACGGCCGGCGGTGGATGAGATCGATGATGAAGCATATCCTCGTTCAGAATAGGCGTCCTTCGCGGCGATGGAGGACTGATCTGCTCTTTAACCAGCAGCTTTGGTTTCTCTGAGATGCAACCGTTCATAATGGTCATATTGACCGCAGGAGGTACAGGTGAGGTGGATGAAGTAATTTCGTTTGACCCGGAGTGGTGCACGTCCGTCACTGGACTGTATGGCATTGGAACGGATTTGATCGGTCCTCCCAGTAGAGGACCACCCACTGGCGGAAGCGATGGAGACCTCGACAAAGAAGGTACTCGAAGCCCAGGGGACATTTCAAGCGGTGGCGTCGAGGGTCGTTCCTGTTTGATCTTCACATCGCACTTTATCACCGACCGTGGTATCACTTCCGCTGGAGGTGTCGGAGGACTCTCCTGCTTAATTTGTACATCACACTTAATTACCGATCGTTCCTTCTCCCGTTCCCGTTCCCGTTCCCGATCTCTTTCCCGTTCCTTACAGAGTATCGTCTTCCGTGGCGCTAGTGCCACATTTGGCTGGAAACTTCTTTCGAATTTGTCGCTCTCCGATAACCGTACAACACTTTCCGGGTTCTGTAACACCGGAGGCTCCTGACTCAGTCCGAGAATTCCACCGGACGAGCCGGTTCCTCCGATCACCCCTCCACCGTTGAGCATTCCGTTTCCATTGAACGCCATGGCGTGCTGTAGTAGCAACTGCTGTTGTGCGTACTTTTGTGCTTTTTGCGTCCACGGCCGAAATGCTGAACTGGGCTGGCGGCTGCTGTGGTACAGACTGGCATCGTTGAGTAGCTTTGGTTTCTTGAGTGGAATGTCACTGAGCGGTTCCGTCTTGATCGTCACCAGTGGGTTGCCGTCGTCGATGCCCTGGAATAGGAGAAAGATATGGGTACGTTAGTTGGTTGAGGCTACAGGGTTGAAATATAGGTTGAAAAGGCATTAAATGTTGTTTGGAGTATTGACATAACAGTATACTGCCTATAAAAGCATAACTGTTCCATTTTTGCTTGAAATTTTTGTAAAAAAATAAAAATTGGAATTCATATGGGACAGTTATGCTTCTATGAGCAGTATTGGTACTTCATACATTGTTCGCTTTCATAAGGTTTAGGGCTTGAAGGTCTTTCTGCATTTGGATGGAACAGTACAATTAAGCATTTAGGAAGTCCGCCATGGATAAAGAAACCAGAGATCCTTCCATGGCACATCAAAAGAACACAGGTAACCGTAAATGATTTGAAAGATAGGCCATGACATGTCCAGAGAAACTCCAGGGTCAATGACCCTGAGGTCAGATCTAGTAAGTCTCGTGATTTAGTATTGTAGATTTGGAGGCAAATCCAGAGGTGCCCGAGAACTTCTAAGAAGATCAAGTGATTCGAATTATAAATCAAAATTGTTCCGATTTGCCTTTAAACAAACTGCATTACAGCGACTGCTCTTGATGTTTCCCAGATAATCTGCGTAGTACCGTGAACCCACCTCATATTACATCAAAGACGGTCTTCAGGCTCTCCAGTGTAATCATGCAACGACAGTAGCTACTAAATTCTCAAATCCATGCATGTATTCCATGATATCCAAAACAAACAGCATAAAAACTGATCAAAAGAGGTTCTGTTTATGTTGAGAGGGATATGCACAAAGAGAAGACAGAATGACTTTCAAACAGATTAGCTTGGGACCGAAGAGAGTACCAGAGCTGAGCCAAAAACTTGGGCACGTTTCTTCGGGACCTTCTGGTTTTAGAGTTACCACTATGATAATAGCATAGAGGTAACTCTAAGACCAGAAGGTCCCGAAGAAAGGTGCCCAACTTTTTGGCTCAGCTCTGGTACTCTCTGGGGATTATGAATAGAACCAGAGGCGAACCAGCCAAAGGCTAAAAGCCTCTTTAATAAAGAAAACTAAACTAAACTAAACTATTATGAATAGAATTACAAGGAACTCTAAAGCAAACTGGAAGGAATTTCAAGGAACATTCTAAGGGAATTCTGAGGAGGTTTTAATGTGAATCAACCCTACGGCAAACTTTATGATGATAGGGCTACAAAAAACTAAACCTCATGTTGTACGTTAGCACACTCAATAGTTGTCTTGAAGACCGATTCCAGTTTGACAGTATCTACATTTATTTTTATAAAGCGTTCAACAAGGTACCGCAAGAGTTGACTCTAAAAAAAGTTGGAACGATTAGGATTTCCTGGTTGGCTGGTGGACTGGTTCGCTCCTATTTCCACGGAAGATCTACCTACGTTAAGCTTGAATTCATGTGTTCAGGAAGCTACGAGATGCCATCTGGTGTACCGCAAGGAAGCCATCTTGGTCCGTTAATTTTTATTCACTTCGTTAATGATTTATGTCACCGGTTACAATCGCATTGGTTCATGTACGCCAAGAGTACCTTAGAGTTTTCAGAATCAACCGGTGTATGGCTGATTGCGTTGCTCTTCATCAAGACCTTTAAACTGTAACTGGTGCCTTTGAATGGGATGGAGATGAACGCTATAAAATCCAAAATTCAGTAGAGGCAGTAGGGTGGTTGTTGCGTGCTGTACCATCTTCAGCATTGTTGACGGTTACTTCTATTCAATTTTCATACTGTCGGACTCTAACGGAACTATCCACCTACCCTCTTCTAAAGATCATTCTCTAGCTAATAAATTATCACACTAAAGCTTCATGTTAGCATTTCCAACCAACTCTACTTTTATTTATTTTCTGTACTGCGCTAAATCAATCGAGTAGAAATAAGAAAGGATGTCGGTTCCGCGCTCGATTAATCGTTAATCGATTAATTTGACTTTTAGGCATCCCTAGAAAATAGTGTAATTTCATGTTTTTTTGGTGGTCCTTCGAAAATGTCGAACAGCAGAATGGCAACCAGCAAGTGTAACCCAAAAACCAAAAGCATGGCGATGCTTTTTTTCATTGCTGTGACGACGACTGAATTAAGGGGCTTAGAAGCAGAGGGGTGAAAGTCAATTCTTTTCATCGATTTTCTCTTTTGATGACCATGGCTTCACTAACCTATTTCGCACTATTTCTGCTATGCTCTTCTATCATCCAGAACAACAAACGTATCAATGAATGTGTTTGCCGTCGAGTTAGTAACGAAACAGAAAGTCGATGAAGAGAATCGATCAAAATCACTTGCACAGCTGCTTCCAAGTTTGGTTACAAGATTACAACTCTGGAGAGCATTTTGTGTAGACCTGTGCGCCGATCAAAATATTTTCGGTGGTGGCGTGATATGTTGTTTTCTGTCGGCGGCGGCGTGGCGGCGTTGGTCGGCGTGAGATTATTTTTAATGATTTAGAAAAAATACTATCCAAACCAATGGACGAAAAATGCTACCCACATTTAAGTTCAGATTACTCACAATCGCTAAAACGTAGGTCACTCATAGTATGAGTAAATTTTCCGACACTTTCCTGAGGAAAACTTCTCGAATATAGGGAAAATTTAAGAAAATTGTACACAGGTCAGAAGTGTAATAGTAGACAGACTAAAACCACAATCAGTTTTCCTCATATTCGAGAAGTTTGCCTTGGAAAAGCATCGGAAAATTTACTCGTTCTATGAGTGACCTACGTTTTCGCGAATTTGAGTAACCTGTACTCAAATATGAGTAACTCTTACTCAATTTTAAGCCGTTCTCATTGGGCGTGCATGCGGAATTTGTTAGGAAAGGATGTAAAGTGCTTGTTAACAGGGGGTGGAGTCGTATGGCAAAATGTGACAACCCTTTAATTAAGTATAAGAAAAGTACGTTATGTAGGGGTGGATAGTATTTAAAAGCAAGCAATCTGATCCAATACGCAAAATTTTATTGGGCCCTAGGAATTCTTCATTCAGCATTACACGTTATTAATATGTTGATAGCGATAAATTATATGCTTTTATTACTCTGATACATATTTGAATCTACAGGCTTGGTAGTCATATAACTTTTTGTTTAAGTACTTGAAGATGACGTCTTTCGGATATACGTAGAATCCCGCACAAGATTAAAAAAGGTCAAATATCAACGTGCTGTTAATAATAGTCACTTATTCACATTTATGTAAATCTGATCCTCGTCAGTAACCCACTGCTTACTGCAAAACTTTATTTTTGCAAATGCTGTTATTGTCATGAATAAAGATTGTTTTATCGACATTGTTAGGGTGGATGCTTGACCGACGTCCAGATACGGTCAGCCCAGCTATGTTAAAAACTCGTTCACTTGGCTGCCAACCAAGGATACTGCAGCTTTCTAATTTTCCAAAAGCATAGAATATCTCCATCTACAACGATGTTCGGGTATGACGTAATGTGCAGGATCTATAGGTGAGGCAGAAGGAAACTCTACTTCACTGTTTCATTCATCCGGTGTTTTCGTCGGATCGAGAGAAAGAAAAAGTCAGCTAGTTTCCTTCTGCCTCACCTAAAGGTCTCGCTCATCGAGACGAAACCACTAAACTGAGTTTTTTGACATTTGCTCAGCGCACCAAAACACTATCTCGAACAAGTGCGAAGAGGAGGAAAAATAATAATTCATCCACGGGACAGACGTCAAATGTTTCCTCTAAAGCTGGGTTTAGACAGGGCAACTCAATTTATCAAGTCAGTTGAATTCAACTGATTTGAACGCGAATTGAACCTGTAAACCATGATATTCAACTGACTTGATCAACTTACTTGAATTGAAAAAAAGTTTAACCAGGCTCAACTTTTCAAGCCAATTGAATTCAACTGAGTTGATCATTTGACTTGCCTAGTCCAAACCCAGCTTAAGGGATTTCACAAATTTACTTATTAACTGGTCTATAAATGTATAGCCCACAACATACTTGAACAACACATACGAACTTTTGCGGCTGTATTGCATATTTTATAGCTGTCACTTACACCGCATGTGTTTGTTTTGCGTTGGTTGTAAGTGTGTGAGTGAAACATAGTAGACAACAGAAAAATGCTGGCTCAGCAGCCACTTGGATACATCCCTGTGTGCTAGATAGAGAAAGTGCAACCAAACGTCAAAAAACTAAATGACAATCACTGCCTCATGCACGCTCCTTTGAAGTTACTCAAGAATGAGTCAGACGTACTCATTTTCATAACTCCTTTTGAAGTGTCAAGTCACGAGTAGTTGTGATTTGTGAATTTGAGTAACATTGACTCAACAATAAATACATAAAGGTGCATCTCAATTTTGAGTTTTCAGTCCATTTGTTGACTCAAAAAAAAAAAAAAAAATGTAAAATCACGAAGTTTGCCTTTCTGTCGTGGAAAATTGTTTCGAAAGAATTCATCCGAAAATGGAGCAAATTTCAGCCGCCGTGGATGCGGAAACGTACCGTACATTGAGAGGTAATTGTTTTGCATTGTGTTTGCTATAAAATAAAATGCTTGATTAAAATATTTTTCAGTTTTTGGTTTATTAATCCTAAAGAAAAAAAGAAAAGAAACGAAATGTTTGCCCATCTGTGTGTTTTTGACTCATTTCCCTATATTTTGGATATTATGGGAATAAGTAGAAATACCTCATCAACAAATACCTAGCCGTTTTACTCAAAATTCAGTTCTGGCTATTTAGAGTAGATCTGGTTTTAGTTAAATTGAGTGGTTTTTCACTCAATTTTGAGTAGCCACGAACGAGCGTGCACACAAGTTCTAATTTCAACGCGTTCAAGATGCAATTTACCTAAAAGATGTTAGGGATTCTTCATCGGCGTGACATAAATTTATTCGGCGGCGTGAACCGTTTTACTGCGGCAGCGCGCCGGCTCAATTTCATCGGCGGCGGCGGCGTATGAAAATCATCGGTGGCTGCGGCTCGGTGTACAGGTCTAATTTTGTGTGGTCTTTTGGAGCGTGTGCTT